CGGAGCTTGGTCGAAAAAAGTCTTCAGTTTATGCTGACGTATTCGAACAGCTCGTTGTATCATTGCTTGCCGACGTTCTTCAATAAAATGCATTAATAAAGACGTATAAACGTGTGGTTTTTTCTTATGTAGATTGAATAATTTTTCTTTTAAATTAGTTAATGTTAGATCATAACGATGTGTAACAATCGCAAATTCATCCAATTCTAAAATCATTAAGTTAAACTTGCATTGTATAATTGTTTTTGAACAACGTGATGCAAAACTGACTCGTTGATCTGCATCAAGAAATGGATTAGAAAGTGTTATTTTATTATCATTAAGTAATTCATTTATCATTTGATCTGTTTTGGTTGGTAATCGTTTTAAATAAATGCGTTGTCGAAGTATTTCTTGTTGTTCTTTTGTTTTCTGTTCGTCAGATGTTATTTGCCATATTTGTTGTGCTAATTGAATTAATTCTTCATTGGGTTTTAATTCATAAAATTTCATAAGTAGATGATCATCATTCCAATCTAATTTTAACATTTCTTTTTTATATTGAAATTGTTCTTTTAATCGTTTTTGACTATGTTGAACACATTCATTAATTGCATGTGATAATAAATTTCCATCAATGGATGGTTGCCAGTGTTCTATATCATTTAATAATTTTGTTAAACCCTCTTGTAATTGATTTCCTATTAGTTCTTTTTGCTTTGCAATTGTTGCTTGACGTTCTTGAATATAAGTTTTTTTAGGTCTATACATCCGACATATATTATTTTGACGAGCAAATTGTTTTGTTACTTTCGACTCCCAATTCTTGTATTGAGAACTTATAATATAGTATTCTAGCCATAATTTTTCTTGAAAATCTTTATAATATAAATTATTTGTAATTTCAGTTATTTCACAAACAGTATGAATTTTTTCAGGCGTATTCAAAGATTCAACTAATTTGAAACCATTTTCAATAGAATCCGCTAACATTCGTTTAAATATTCGATGAGATACTTTTAGATAACGTGGTTTAAAACGTTCTAAATAATCCTTTGATGATTCATGATTAACATTCCTCACTTTATCTTGTATTAATGTTGTTGCGTTTGTTGTTATTTTAGTCTCCTTAATATTGTTATGTGATATTGATAATTGACTAAAATGCTTATCAATTCCCGATGTTGTTTCAGCAATTGATGTTGTTTTGGTCTTCTTAGCATCTCCTTGTGATATTAATAATTGACTTATTGGTTTATCAAGTATTGTAATTGCTTCTGTTGTTGGTGTTGGTGTTAACAACATTCTTTTTCTTTTCATTCCCATTGCCATACTATCATCATCATTAATAGACTGTATTTGTGACGTTGTGATCTGAATAAAAGATAATTAGGAGTTATTACATCCACAAATGAATCAAAAAATAAAAAGAAAAGCCTACTCGATCCAGTGGAAGAGAAACTTCAATATTTTGTCGATCACGGTTTTTGAATGTCATTTTATCCCGTTGTTGTTGCGGCTGTTGCCCTTGAGAAGGAAATTTTTCCTTAATTAGTTTTTCCACTGTAGTTGAGTCCAAGCCTTTATTATATAGTTGTCGTCGATAACGTTGTCTTTTTCGATCACCACGACATTTCTTTTTCTTCATTTGACTCTCTTGTTCTTTTTGAACTTGAGCTTCTGTTATGGACGATGTTGTATTTTCTATATGATTATTTTCGTTCATACTGAATATTTATATCTAGAAGTATATTTAAGTCAGTGATATGAGCAACAAAAACAAGAAAACCTAATAAAGAGTTAACCAGGCATCAGTAGGAAATCATATTGTTCTTCACTTGGTCGTTTTAGACTACTATTTTTTGCCTATGAGAGGGTGGTGTGGGTGTATGTTTATAACTTTATCTTTTTAGCCTTGTTTCTCTCCTTGAACCTTCGAATACCGTTCAACCTGTCATTTGATAGAGGCAAACCGATACACGCGAAACATTACACTTACGCTAGCAATAATTTAACTATACTACATGACTGCCTTTTTTCTCCCGTAAGATTTTCACATCACTGCTTTCTCTTCGATCTAATACGAGCAAGTCAAATATTCCGTCTTATACATCGATAGAACTGACAAGCTTATATCCTTGTAGTCAAACCTCTTCTAACTGTTCACTCCTGTGCTACTAGCTGTTTACTGATCTACTCATTTACTATCTGCAACATTTAATCCTTATATTCATCATATCATATTCTCTTATATATCCCTTCTCTTCTATACGTATATTCTTATCATCGTAAACTCATATAGCCACATATCCATAACCTCCTATGCCTCTATCTATTTACCACCGTATTTCTTTATTTCTCCATATTCTTAACGTCTTATATTCATATGTCTTTATGCTTTTCTATCGTCATCCTTTTATTTGCTTATACTGTTATGTTGTCATTTACATCTCTATCGTCTTATATATTCATCAGCTTATCTTCGTTTATCCCTGCTCTTTTATCACGTTATCTCTTTATATTCTTTAACATCTTGCACTCCAATTCCTATATTACCTGATATAATAATATATCCATCTTCTAATATTCGTTTTTCTATATTTCTTTATTTCAATCATTCACTTATATCCTTATTCCTATATCACATCAGCATCTGACGTCCCTATCCATTTATCTCATTACTCTATTATATGCCTATCCCTTTATCATAGAATCTCTTTATATATCTGTTTATTTATTACATCACTCCCATACTACCCTATTCCTTTATCATATCGTTCTTTTACGTCACGAGAACCTTCCATTTTTCTAGCCTGAAGACCTCTAGCTTTACACCAGGCACAGAGAGAGAGACACAACACACAACCTGAGCATTATACATATCTACAGATTTATTTTATTATACAACACAAGCAAAAAAGATTATATACAATAAAAATAAAAAACAAAAACAAAAAATCAGACAAAAAGTACACAAAGAAACAAAAATGCACACAAGTTACTTTAATCCAACGTCATAAAAATAAACCATGTGTATGTTAAATAAAAAGAAAGATAAAAAGAAAACTTATTCTAGAGCTTAACTTCTTCTGCGTACATTTTGAATCCCCATCTTTCTGAAAAACTCAACAACACTATCGTCTAATAAGGCCTTGATCCTGCTCTGTCTGGTGGGATAGCCGCTTCAGACAGCCACAGTGACCATACGCATATATGTAATCGCATAGCGCTGAAACAACCCGAAGATTGTCTCAGTGTACTGGAAAGACGTCACCGAACCTGTTCTGGCCTTTCCTCATAGTACAACGATTTAGTCGTCGACACTATGCGTTACAAAGAATAAAAGATAAAAATTTTGGAGTCTAAGAATATCCAAATAAAAAGTTTTTCAAAATTTGTTTTAATTATTGTTCGAATAAGCAGAACTTATTCGAACAACAGCCCTGAAAATTAGAAAGTTGTTTTGATATTGTGTGGTAAAAATCTGAGAAAAATCCCTAACTAAATCATCAACAGACCTGATATTAGACGATTATGTTTAGATCCTTGCTTTTGTGAGTTGACAAAGTAAGGAGGGTACTATATGTAGGGACATTCTTTGTGAACATTTTCTATAAATTCAGTTAAATTTGAGGATGTTCTTTGTGAACAGTACGCAGATAAGCGTATAGAAGCTGAAGATTTGATTTAGATACACAAGCGATAGACTTACGACCGGTTTCGACCTTGCTGAAGGGTCATCATCAGGTAAGTTCGATATCTAAATATTGCTGCATATTGATCGAAATTCAAAATAGAGGAAGTTGTATAAGAGTTATTGACAAAAAATCGAAAACACTCAACAAACAGCCAAACAAATTTTTGAACTAGGATCACATATATTTCAAATTAACTAAATTTTCAAGAGTAAAATAAAGTTGAGATGAAGTAGGATAGGTGTGGGTGGGTGTGGGTATGGGTGGGTGTGAATTAGAATAAATCGCCGTTCCACGACAACGCTGTTTCTGTCTTGGCGGGACTTCATCAGGTCGGAATGATTTATAAGTAGAAAATCAATCATAATAGCTGGTAAGACCGGTTTCGATAAGTATTAAATTATTATTAAGAAGTTTTAGATTGAAAGCATCGACACGACGCCTTTCGACCTTTCTTAAGGGTCACCGTCAGGTATCTTCACAATCTATAGTAGATATATGTAGGACTCTCCAAATACTGAAGTAGTAATAGATAAGACCATACTACAAAAGATCTTATTAGGATATAGTCTTCTAGATTGAGAGCACCACACGACTACTTTCGTCCTTGCTGAAGGGACTCTACAGGCATGTTTAAGTAGAAAGATTCTTAGAAAAGAATCGATCAATAAGCTAGCAAAACCGGTTTCGATTTCTGCTAAAGTAATCTCTTGTCATTTGCTTAATGATATAAAGTTGTTAAGAACACATCTCCTACTATGATATAATATTGTTGAAAGGTTTTTAGGAGAAAACTTCCACAGCTAATATTATACATAATATAACTGAAATTCGAAAGCTTTCGAAGATGAATACTTCCAAATAATAGACAAGAGAATCTCCAACTAATGTGATGCGTTTGAGTAGAAAGATTCTTAGAAAACAATCGATCAATAAGCTAGCAAGACCGGTTTTGATAAGGGCGATGAGCTTCAACTTATCAATTGCTTTTTGATTATAAGATGTTATTATAAATATAATTTCTCCTACATTGAATTACTATACTTAAAAGTTATATAAGGATAACTTCCAAGCTAACAATAATCATATAAGACTAATATCAAAAAGTTTTTAAAAAAAAACTTTCAATATAATGTAGAAGACAGTCTCTACAAAATGGGTATGTTTTAGAAGAATCGCCGTTCCATGAGAACACTGTTTCTGTCTTGGCTGGACTTCGTCAAGTGGATCACTGAATATTATATCTATATAGAAATGTAATTCTAAATTAGTGGATAGATACATATGTATTACATTATGATAGATACAATAATTAGTAGAAGACATTTGCATATATAAAATTTTCAAATAGAATTAACTTAAACTATAGTCTTAGTTGACTCTAGTAGTCAATATCTCTCTCGGAATGCCAAGATCCGGATTTCATCACACCGAAGAGTGAATCATCAGTTGGCTTTGACTCTGCTGTATTTGTTTTGAATGATTGATTCCGAAAAATAATTACAAGCGAAATACATTTATCTATACAGAACTTCAAACAGTGGAATTAATCTAAAGATTTGAAGACGATAGATATCGGCAAAAGATACTTAATTATAAAATATTTTTGGCTTGAGAGCATCACGCGACTAGTTCCGTCCTTGCTTCAGGGTCTCTATGGGCATGTTTAGAATTTATTATTACATAGTAGAATCAAACCTCGATCAGTTAAACTGAAAAGTTGAGACCCAATTCGTAATAATTCCTATATAATATTTCAATATATACAAGATAACAGATTGAATTTAGAGCACTACATGACTAGATTCGTCTTTGCTTAAGGGATTCTACTGGCATATTTACAATCTATTAGTACATAT